AAATGTGAAAAATTAAAGAAAAAGAAAAGACACCGGGTCAAATGGATATCCAGATACAAAAGAATGAAGCTAAATTCCTGCCTCTCACACCAACTTAAATTATGTCCGGGTGTGGCAGCACATGCCATTGATCTCAACATTTGGAGGCAGAGGCAGGAAGATCTCTATAAGTTCCAGTCCATCCTGGTCTACATAGCGAGTTCTAGACCAGTCAAGACTACAGGTGAATTCCTATCTTAACAAAACTCAAACTATGTGAAGTATCTGTAAGAGTTAAATCTATAAAATTTGTAGAAGAAAATCTAAGGGCTGGACTGGGGATACAGCCAGTGGCAGTGTACTTTCTTAGCAGGCAATAAAGCTCTGGATTTGAACTATAAACAATCAAAGGGGTCATTATTAATGATTTTAGCAATATCAGTTAATGATATTTGATAATAGATGCTTAGATCTGATACCAAAAATACAAGTAATGAAAGAAAAGTAAAAAAGGTAAATATTATGTCAAAATAAAAAAAAAAAAAGTGTATCAAAGAGTGCTAGAAAACAGTATCTTAGCAGCAGATCCTTATCATTCTGTTAGATGAGACACAGTGGGTCAGCCATTGTACGCTTTCATTTAGTTGCTCAATGGATGCAGAAAGTATACCGGGGTTGGTTTAGGAGATGGGGACAGGAAGATATGGGAAAACGGGAGGTGAAGAACAGCTTTCTCTCTGTGTTGGGTTTGCTCCAAAGGACACAAAACAAAAACTCCACCACTGACTGAGCTACATCCCCAGCCTGGAATTTTCTTTCTGAGCGATGGATATTTCGAACCAGTAGACTCGATGATTGCAGCACACGTGCCATGCACATCTCATCTTGAAACTACAAAAAGAAAGGCCTTAGGGTGAGCAAAGGAAACAACGTGAGCTAGATCTGGAGTGAGGGACCCAAAGCGGAGAAGTGTGAGGCACGGAAGGCTGGAGATGACAGTGGGGACAGAATACAGAGTCTGAGCAATGGAAAGTCATGTGTCTCTGAGCATAATAACAACATGTGAAACAGCACCCTGTCTTTGATGAGGTAAAACAGCCATTTGAACATGCAGATGGTTGTTAAAGAAACGATAACCGTACTGCAGCGGCAGGGGCGCGGGCGGGGTGGGGGCAGGAGGCATCAGACAACAAAACAACCTGTTAGCAGTAGAATCATACACACTTTTGACTCAAAAAATTTCAGAACCAGGGCGGCGGGTGTAGTTCAGTGGTAGAATGATAACACGCTCGAGGCTCTAGGTCGGATCCTTAGCTGCAAAATAAATGGAAGAAGATAGGACAGAAGAGGGGAGGGTGGGAGGGAAGGAGATTTCAGAGCCAGCCCACGTGTTTTTCCTTTACCTATTCATCCAGCCCCTGCTCTTCCCTGGGCCTCCGATACCGGTATCTGCGTCCTTCATACCCACCCAAAGAGTTAGTTCCTGCTTTCCTCTGGCACTAATTTCTGTGGGACTGAGGTTCAGAACCTTGATAGTTAAGGTGTGGTCCACGGGCAGGCAACCCTGATAAGTACCTGGGAGTTTGTTAGAAAAGCAGATATTTACAGCTTCCTTTCAGAGTCTCCAGCCTAACAAAACCCTCAAGTTATAAATACATTAACGTTTCACAAATTCCTATGTAGAAAGAATAGAGAAGTAGCTGAGATACACCAAGGAGCTCATTTCATTTGTAACCATTGTTTTTCTATTTTGGTTTGCTGTGTCGCCCAGGTTGCTTCAGTATCTTAAATTGGGATTAAAAGCATGCACCATAGCCGGGGGTTGGTGTGCACGCCTTTAATCCCAGCACTCGGGAGGCAGAGGCAGGCGGATCTCTGAGTTCGAGGCCAACCTGGTCTTCAAAGAGAGTTCCAGGACAGCCTCCAAAACCCTGTCTCAAAAAAAAAAAAAAAAAAAAAAAAAAAAAACCCCAAAAAACCTATTAATTATATGTGGTAATAGGTTTTAATATATTTTGATCATATTTACCCACAGTACCCTCTCTGACCCCTTCCCACTCCTGTTAGTCTCCTTCTAAACTAACCCGCCTTCTATTTTTCTTTCCTTTTTCTCCTCTGATGAGCCAATGAGTTTCTTAGGGTTGCTTACAGGAGCATGGGTTAAGGGGTTATATACAGACGCCAGGACATCTGACAAGTGGCTACATCACTGAGGAAAAAAAAAAAAATCTCTCCCTCCCCAACCAACCATTAAACACTTAAAAGTCCCTGAGGCAAGGGATGGGCCTGATTGGTCTCCATCTCCTTGACAGAATGTTGTTAAGCCTAATTTTGTGCATGTCTTGTGCTGGTCATTACAGCTGCTGTACATCAAAGAGTACAACTGTCATGTCACATGGTAAGCTGGTTTTGCCCCCAAGGAAATGAATTAAAGGGAATGAAGGGAGCTGGGGTGATGCATAAATTGGCAAAGTGCTTGCCATGCAAGCAGGACCACCTGAGTTCAGATTCCCAGGACCCAAGTCCAAAGCCTGGTGAATGTAATGCAAAGCCAGTGCTGTAATCTCAGTGGCTGGCCAGCCGGGAGGCAAGAGGAACCCTGGGGAGGCAGGGGGAGTTCTGGGGAGGCAGGGGGAGCTCTGGGGAGGCATGGGGAGCTCTGGGGAGGCAGGGGGAGGTCTGGGGAGGCAGGAGGAGCCCTGGGGAGGCAGGGGGAGCCCTGGGGAAGCAGGGGGAGCCCTGGGGAGGCAAGGGGAGCCCCGAGGAGCCCTGGGGAAGCAGGGGGAGCCCTGGGGAGTCAGGAGGAGCCCTAGGGTTTACTGTTCGGTCAGCCTAGCCAAATGAGCAAGCTTTGGGTTCATTGAGAACCCCATCTCAAAAAACAAAGGGAGAGAGAGAAGCAGCTGTCAAAGCCACTCAATGGATGCCCCCTACTGCCCCCATTCATTTGTAAACACACAGGAATAAGTAAATGCTCATATATGCACACAAAAGGAAATAAGATTAGATTTCCAACATGATTTATCTTTGAACTAAGTTTCCTAATGGAATCAGGATGTTTCTCACCTACCTGACAGCCTGTAGTGAGTCATTCTCTCCATCTGCTGGGAGAGCATCTTTGTCCTACCTGCATGCTACAGTGGTCTTGTCTTTGCTCACTCACTCCAAACTCTTCTCCTAACCCTTTCCCTCTCCCTCTCATGTTGCTGTGTTTGATTCCTTCCCTACTTAACCGCATATCATTTTCACCTATTCCAGAAAGTTCTTCCTCACCACCATTCCAGAGCAGTCCCCTTGTTTTTGGTGTCCTGCCTAGTTTTACCTTAGAACCAGACTCTCCACTTTCCACCCCAACAACCACAGTTCTGCTCCACTGAGAGGTTTCTGACCACCTGCATCTGTCTCCTGCAGATGCAGTCAACTGTGTACTTTACACCCTCCCCCACAGCTGTGTGGCAGTGAACTGTTTGTTACTTAGGCTCTGCACCTTCTTTGGTCAACCACACATGGGGACTGAGCCTCATATTTCACAGGTTGGTTATAAGAAGAACCCACAGAGATACGGAGGAGGGATTTTAATAAGAGGACTCTCAGAAATTTCCAGTTTACAGAGATAAATGTGAAAAACTCAAGTTGCTGCTTGATCCCAGGTCAGGAAGTGATAACACAGATGCAAGTACAATAATTTTCATCTTTCTCTGCATCTTGTATGTATTTCCTTGTTCCTCTGTTCTTCCTAGCTTGACTTAGTCTCTATTCTCAGCCTTAGCCTTGTGCCTCAGTTTCTAGCTGCTTTCAGGAATCTCCTCTCAGCTATAGCACTGAATCATAAAACAGATCCAAAGAAGAGCTGACCTTCCTCCTCGTGGCTAGGCCTCCATCCTACCCCTGTCTCTATCTCTGACTGTCCTGTCTGCAATGGGACTTCCCTCTGTCTGTCTGTCTGTCTATCTGTCTCTTTTTCTCTCTCTTTCTCACTCATTTCTTCAAAATTATTTGTTGCTAGCCAGTGCACGTTTTATTTGTTTCGAGCTTATCTTCCCTGCCAAGAAGTTAATTCCTTAAGAACAGAAACTTTGTGGACTTAGATCCTGATGTAGTTCCTGAAACTACTCCAGCCTATCTCGTAGGCATTTAATGAATGGTTATCAAATGACCTAATGAATCTTCCTTTCCTCTTACTTCTTTTGTCAATTAATCTAGTTAGTTCTATGTCTGCAGTTTTTCTTGTATTACTGACAGGTTTAGTCAACTGTTTTTTTCAGCCTCTTGCTGGCTAATGAACTTTTGATCAGTTACTTAAATTATCATAGTCTCAGTTCCTTGTGTTAACATGAAGCTATTAATAGAACAAATGCATACACATGCCATAAGACTTCCAAACATAATGCATTTTTAATATCTAGCCCATTTTCTGGAGCAAAATAAATGCTAGCTTTTTTTTTTTTTTTTCAGTGAACTCCTCCAGGGCTAGGTCTGAGTTAGCAGCCTTTGGTACCCTTTCTGAGAACACTACACTACAGCCCAGATGCCACCCTGAGACTTCTCAAACATGATGTGAGCCTTTTTGCCCTCTGTGTAACAGATAACAGGGAGAAGAAACAGACCCAGCCAATCCATTCCTAACTGCAGTGCTGGGTTTTCAGTATTTGATTGAAAGTGAAGTTCGGAAAAGACAACGAATCCCCCTGACGTTACCCAGTATCACAGCAGTTAAAATGTTGAAGATTTTTTCCCCCTTTAAACTTACTTTTGTACCACAAACAGTTCTGACTTAAAAAGACTCATGGAAACATGCTCAGAAAACACTCCCTTTCCGTCAGGCCCAGCTGAAATTTTGCCCCCAAATCATTCCTCTGGCAGTCTGAGGGAAGCGGTTTGCTATGAACCACCTTGAACTTCCTGAGTCTCTGACAGAGAGCCAGGCAGTCAGCCCGATCTAGATGACTTAAACTGAGTGAGCTGTCCCAAAGAAGGGACTCACTCACACAGCAACAGTATCAGTGTCCACAGACATTTACCTGAGCCAAGGCAGAAGACAAGTGGGAACAGCCAGACCATCATCTGACCGGCGGAGTCAGGCGCGGGAGTCCTTGAGACAACCATTCTTTCACCAGCTTGTCACTGAGACTTCCTTCCCTTTCGTCTGGTGATGACAGCTCTTCCTCTATGTTAGCAAGCCTTTGCTTATCGATTTTCACTTTCACACATTGCATATAGAAATACCTTGTATAAGTTAAGACTCCTACTAATGGGGGTTACAGAGCCTGAAATAGCCACTTCCTGTAACCAGATAGGACTTCCAGAGGAGGGACTGGGACACGAACTCAGCCACAAAACCTGTGACCTACAAATTTGTCCTGCCTGAAAGCTGTGCTGAAGTAAAGTTGGTGCAGAAACTGTGGGAGTGGCCAACCGCTAACTGGGCCAGATGGAGACCCATGCCACAAGAAGGAGCCCACGCCTGACACTGCCTGGAGGTCCAGGAACCAAAGGCTAGATAGCCCAGCCTTTAGTTCTATCTGTATAGAACTAAATACATCCAGGGAAAAAAAGTCAATGATGCCTAATGATATTGTGCTATACTCATGGGCACCCAGAATAATGATCATCAGAGAGGCTTCATCCAGCAACTGATAGAAACAGATGCAGAGACCCACAGCCAAACATTAGCCTGAACTTGGGATCCTGCAGAAGATGGAAAGTATTGTAGGAGCCGGAGGGGGTCAAGAACACCTCAAGAAAATTCATAGTCAATTTAACCTGGGCTCACAGAGACTGAAGTGACAATCAGGGAGCCTGCATGGGACTGGCCTAGACCCTCTGCATATATTTACAGTTAGCTTTGTGTTTTTATGGGATTCCTAACAATGGGAGTGTGTGGGAGGTTGTAGGGGGAGGGGGGGAGGGCTGTCCCTGGGTCTTTTGCCTGATTTTGGGATGTCTTTTCTCCTACTGGGTTGCCTAGTCCAGTTTTTTTTTTTTAATTAATTTATTTTTTACATTCCAATCCCAGTTTCCCCTCCCTCCTTTCCTCCCACTCTCCCCTCCTTCTGCCATCCCACCTTCCATTTGCTTCTCAGAGAGGGTTGTGCCTCCCCTAAGTCTGTCCCATCATCTTGTTGAGGAAGAACCAAGGTCCCCCGCCCCATGTCTAGACTGAGCAAGGTATCTCTCCATAGAAAATTGGGCTCCACAAAGTCAGTTTACACATTACAGTTAGATCTTAGTCCCACTGCCAGTGGCTTCATATACACCCCAAGCCATACCATTGTCACCTGTATTCAGGGGTCCTAGTTCAGTCCTATGCCTGTTTCCCAGTTGCCTAGTCAAGTCTTAATATGAGGGGAGATGCCTAGTCTTATTGCAACTTGATAAACCATATTTGGTCAGTATCCCTGGGAGACCTAATCTTTTCTGAAGGGAAATGAAGGAGAAGTGGGGAGAAGGGCTGGGAGGAGATGAGAGAGGGGTACTGCCGTGGGGATGTGATGGAAGAATACATTAAAAAAAAAAAGAAATAGTTTGTATAATTTTAATTTAAAAAGTGTAGGGAGACGTGTGTCATGAGCTGTCTATGCATTTGAGAAGATGTTCACCTTGTCTGTGGCATCTTCTGTGATGTCTGTCAGATCATACTGTTTAAGTGTTGCTCAGGCCCTTTATTTAAAGACTTCCTGTAGTTCTGACGCCAGATGATTCATATGCTGGAGGCTTGGTCTCCAGTGTGGTGACTCAGAGGGGTGGTGGGACCCTTACGAAGTGGGTCCTACTAAGAGACTATTATGTCATTGATGGTGCTTTGACAGTGGGCTTTTCCGGTATGCAAATCCCTTAGACCACCCATACACCTACAGACAACCCCTCACCCATGCACCGTTCAGTAACCCCATGAACTAATCTAGACTTCGTGCGGGCTGTTTCTTTGTCTTGTTCTCAACGTCCTATCTGGAGTGAATAGAGTTACTTGTTCAAATCTCCAGAGGAAAAAAAAAATAGTCACAATTGGTGCTGGAGCTGGGATGAACAAAACAAAGTTGAGTCTGAGATGGAGGCACATGCGAGAGTGATCCAACTGGTATGATTACTCTTTCCCGGTGGTATGGGACAGCATGCCTCCCTCCTGCAGTGGCAGTTGTATGTCCTCTGATATGAATAAGACATGCAGCTGAAGGGAACATCTTTGAGGGGAAACCCTATCTTCCTCTATGCGGTGTGGTTGGCATGCCCCTTTTATGAATGTGGTCTGTCAATCAAGCACAGGAATGCCCCCAAGGTGGTTGATGGACTAGAGAATCTATTGCAATCCCAGAAAGGACCCATATGGCATGTGATTATAAGTAGGTCATAGAAATAGACCCTTGGTCTCTGCTGGATGCCATAAGAGCTGTAATTGAGGTTAAGATTTCTGCCCAGGAGGAATTGCCAGCAGGAGGAAGGAATTACAATAGAAGAGACACACAGATGCTGTCTTCCATATTGCCTTCTCATTTGGCAGGAAAGGAGGGAAAAGAAGGATGGGTTCCTATTCTTTTTTTTTTTTTTTCTTTCAGTCAGTAAATGAGAATTCATTAGACCTGGGCTAGAGAACCCTTCCTGGAATCCAAAACTCTTGATCCATGAGAAGAATCAGACAGTGAGGAGTGAAGAGATGAAGTAGAAGATGTCCATCCTTCAGACCTGACTTTTAATACATAAGAAGGAAAATCTGTGATTCAGTGTGCATATAGAAGCCTTGATCTCCCTGGAGAGCAGAAAGAGGATGGCATAGGAGGTTGGCGAAGGACAGGGGAGGAGGGGAGGGAAAGGGAACTGGGATTGACATGTAAAAGAAGCTTGTTTCTAATTTAAATAAAAAAGAAAAGAAAAACAAACAAACAAACCAAAACAAAAACAGCTGACCTGAACCAGGGGTTGCTCATGGACCCCAGACTGATAAGTTGGGAAACCAGCAAAGGACTGTTCCAGACCCCATGAAGGAGGGGGTCCAGTTTGGAGGTCTGGACAACCTATGGAGCCACTGGTAGTGGATCAGTATTTACCCCTAGTACACAAATTAACTTTGGGAGCCTTCTCCACATAGAGGGATACTCTTTCAGCCTAGATACACTGGGGAGGGTCTAGGGTCTAGGCCCTGCTCCAAATGATATGATTGACTTTGAAGATCCCCCATGGATGGCCTCAGCCTCCCTGGGGAGCAGAAAGGGGGCAGGGGTGGAGGGGAGGGAGAGGGAACTGGGATTGACAAATAAAAGAAACTTGTTTCTAATTTAAATAAAAAAAGAAAAAAAAAAGAAGCCTTAACATTTCTTAGCCCAGGAAATGATGCTAGTCAGGGGATAATTGGTCCTTCAAATGCTTCAACTGGGAGAGACTTTTAAATAAGCAATAGAAGAACTTTTCAAAGCCTGACTTGGGAGGTCATGGGACATGGGGGAGTCAGATGGGATCAGCTTGACATTGTGGAAGTGAGAAATTGAGAGATATCATGGATTTTTCTCTTTCAGAAACAGGCTGAATAGTTTGAGGCAATGTAAGGGAAACCATTCCCAATGAAGTGACTTATATGAACAATTAGGGAAGCTTCATATCACTGGCTGAGATCTCCATGAATATCAGGGACTAGAAGACAATACAGGGATGACAGACATTGTCTAGAGAACTGTGTATGCAAGACAAGGTGTTTGATGCCCAGGTGAGCAAGGAGAGAGAAAAACATTGATTTAGCAGGCCCCCTGGGACTGGTATAGGGCAAGTGGCTTTGCTGAGTCTGTTGTTACATTATGATCTTTACAAAAATTGGAAAAGCCGTATGATCTGACTACAGTTTGTGCCTATGTGGTTGCCGAGGTATTTAGGAAGGGATTAGAAAAGGGAAACCTGGGCTGGCGAGGTGGCCCATGAGGAAAGGTGCTTGCTGCCAAGCCTGATGGCTCAAGTCCCATTCTTGGTACCCACATGGTAGAATGAGAGAAATGACTCCTGAATGTTGTCTTCCGACCACTCCCAACACATACAATGTCACAGCATCTGCCCCCATAATCAAGCAAACAAATAAATAAATGTAATTTTAAAAAGGATAGAGAGGAAAGAAGATAATGGGGTCTATTGCCCCAAAGCAAATGTAGACAAATTCTGTGCTTGTGAAAGGCTTTAAAACCCGAGTAACAATTTGCAAGAGGGGTGTAAGAAGGCCCGAATGACAGGTCTTTGTAAGTTGGAAAGGACTGGTCAGTTACCCCCAGCATACTGTGCACATTTTCCCCTGCAGGAAAGGATACTGGGATGTAGGTTGTTCAGGATGGAATTCTTTAAGACTTCGGGGGTGATTGATGGAAGTGGTGGCCAAGGAGGCAGCCTGAAGCCTGTCTGATGCAGGGAGCAGGCTCATAGTGGGTGTGATGGGTGACAACATTGATCTGCTTTCCCTTGCCCCTGGGCAGAGTGTCACAAAGCAGCCATATGGAGCCTATCAAGGTTGGGGCGGTGTGTAGCTCCCTAGGGTGAGATACTGGATAACGTATGGATGATATGATTATGGATTATAAAGATCTAAATGATGTGGTGTCTCCATCCATGTATCTATATCGAATTTTGAAAAAAAAAAAGTTGGCACAAGTGATGGGATATTTTTCATGCTCTATTGCTGATGTTAAAAATAATCCCTCTAGACAGAATTCCAAGACCAAGTAGCATTTTCTTAGAAGAGACAGCAATGGATCTTCAGAGGCCCTGCCCACCCTCTGTGAAAAGATTCATTATGTAACGCTAAACTTTGTGTGTCTTACAAATTTGGAAAATCATCTGGAAGGGCAGTAAAAATGGTAGATGGAAAGTTTGAAGAATGCAGCCTGTGTGGGTGGGGAAAAGGCACTTCTAGGAACACAAAGTTGTTGAGATAAAAAAGATGTGTGTGCCAGGAGTATATTATCTCTTGATCAATTATTGGTCAGGGAGGTCCATGAGGGTCCCCATAAAATATAAGCTTTCGCCACTGCTGTTAGCTACATGCCAGAACTAGATGCTGAGTTTCTACAATCAAAGACTGTGTGCTTTTGTTGCAGGACGTTAAAAATAATCAAATTTGGACTAAATCAAAAGCTCATTTCTTGTTGGTTAGCTTTTGTAGTACTTGAAAGAACTATAACAGAATTGTGGAGAAGAATTGTGACCAACAGTCCTGCTTGGTGATGTACTATTGACACTCCAGTCAGAATATGCCATTGGATCAAAAGTGGCACAGCTGATGCAGACACAACCAACTGCT